AAATAATTATGTGGAGCTCTAGTCATGAAAAGGAAAATACATCCATGATATAGTTTTAGCAGTCATGAAAAGGACAGCATAAAAAAGGTATAGATGGAATGAGTCCATTTTTTGTTTAAATAAAATAGATCTGTGAATGGGAATGTATGTTTAAATAGAGTGTGATTGCTTTTATTGTGTTTTGGCATGATGCATTGTGCAAGTAAACGGGTGATATCCAAGTACAACAGACTTACTCTATTTAGACAGGTGTTAGGGGGGAAATGGAAGTCTTGAAGAAATACTGTGTTTGGTGGTATGCTGGTAAACACTTAACAACTGGCCTCTAGGTAGGTCAGGATGTAAGTCCTGCGTCACATTTACCAATTTCTATGGCATAAATATCTGCAACATTATTCATTTCAGGCGACTGAATGTGGAGTCGAAAGAGATGTAAGTGGCACACCATTATGCAGTATTTCCATGATACAGAAACACAGATGTAAATAAATGCAACAGTGTAGATAATATTAAAATGTAGTGGGGCACCTGGGTGGCTCAGTCGGTTAAGTGTCCGACTTCGGCTCAGGTCGTGATCTCACAGTCTGTGGGTTCGAGCCCCGCGTCGGGCTCTGTGCTGATAGCTCAGAGCCTGGAGCCTGCTTCAGATCCTGTGTCTCCCACTCTCTCTGCCCTTCCCCCGCTCACTCTCTGTCTCTCAAAATAAAAGACATTAAATTAAAAAAACTAAATAAAAATGTAGCAAAAAAAATTACTAAAGTTTGTATGTTAGATGACTTGGAAGAATTTTGTGTGTGCACTTTTTATAAGTCTACAAGGAGAGTCAATAATACCGATCATGGTCTGAGTGGAAGATTTATGAATCATATCTATTTCATTTTTTAAACTTTTATATGTCATTTCAATATTTTTATAGTAAACATGTTATCTTTATAATCAGAAAAAATTCAAGTGGTTTTTTTCTTATTTGTTAGAACCTAAGAAAGAAAAAAAAAAAACAAGGAACATTACTTTCAAAAATAAGTCTCACTAGAATAAAACACTTCCCTGAAAGGAGTATGGATTCATTAGAGTGTAACTAACGATAAAGGTAAGCAATAGTCTAATCAATTAAAGCAGGATACCTCTGTTAAGTCACCGTGTAAGGAAATGAGCACTCAGTATTTCGAAGGCATTTCAAAGCATAAATATGTAACAAGAGAATTCAAAGGAATTTGAGCTCCTAGGTGGTCGGATATGCTCCCTCTACAATTAAGGAAACTTAGTCCCAAGATAGGTAGAAGTTTTCTCCAAGTAAGCACTAGAAAGCATAAGGGAAGTCAGCTTCTCTCCATTTATAAATGGTCTCTGTAGCTTGTGAATAAAAGTACACATTCCTTCTTTGTCATTATTTAATGAGAAGAGATGACCTCATGGGGAGGTGGGGGTGGTAGTCATTCAATTGGTTAATTGCTGAAGCCCTGACTCTTCGCACCTTTGTTTAGGTAATAGGAGCTTACATTTACCTAGAATTTTATACTCCTCAAAACACTTCCCCATAGCTTATTTCAGAGGATCCTCATATGGGCCCTGTGAGACAGGTAGGGCAAGAAGGACCACTCCTATTTGACAAATATGGAGACAGGCCCGAGCGGCAAGTGGCTAGCCTAAGGCTAGTGAGAGCCAGGCCTCTGGTCCACTCATGGTCCTGCCTAGGAGTCAGTCATCTGGGGGAACCTGTTCGGAAGGTGTCTTTCTCCCCTTTTCTTCCTTGTCCTTCTAACAAATTCTTTCTTCTCTCGTCTCCTGTCTCATTTTACACTTAAGAATATTAGTTTCATATCACCCAGAGTTGCTCTTTAGTTCCTGTTACTTTTATTCTGGAATGGAAGACAGTCCCAGGCATCTTCAGGCCTGGAAATATTCCTGTTCTTCTTTATTTGACATGAGGGCTAAACCCCTGAATGTTGGTTTCTCTTGAAATTCAAAGTCATTTCTGTCATTGAAGAAATAGCTTCTGCAAAGGTCCAAATAGTATATATCATAAAGCAAGAAACTGTAGACATTTTGGTGTGACATATTGGTAGATAATTTTTTTGGCTTTCTAAAAGGGGTTAAAACTGAAGTCAGGGAAGAAAGACTTACTCAGGAGATACAAATCTACACATCATGTATAACAAGGCAGATCCTAGAGAATCAAAAATCAGACGTTCTCCGAAGCTTTGTTACATCAAGGGAGGAGGTGTGATCTGTTGAGAGTACAATGTCCTCAGGAAGGATTAAAAAAGGTATCACTGGGCTATGTTTAAGTCCAGGGACAAAAAGAGGTACTAACTTAATTAATATGCTACCTCAGCTCCTGGACTTATTGACTGATGCAACCTTATGTACATTCTCAGTGCATCAATTTCTTCATCTTTAAAGTGTGATTCATAGTATGTACCTCACAAAGTATAGTAAAAACCAAATTAGCTCGTGGCTAAGAAAATACTTGGTAAACTAAAACTCACTAAAAAATATATGGGCTATGTTTTAGATATCTTAATAATTTTGGGGGCGCCTGGATGGCTCAGTCGGGTAAGCATCTGACCTCAGATCAGGTCATGATCACATGGTTCGTGAGTTCAAGCTCTCCATCAGGCTCTGTGCTGGCAGTTCAGAGCCTGGAACCTGCTTTGGATTCTGTGTCCCCCTCTCTTTCTGACCCTTTCCTGCTAGTGCTCTGGCTCTCTCAAAAATAAATAAACATTATTTATTTTTTGTGAGATCTTGCCATTTACAACACCATGGATGGACCTAGAAGGTACACTGTTAAGTGAAATAAGTCAGACAGAGAAAGACGAACACCACATGATTGCACTCACATGGGAAATCTAAAAAACCAACCAAACAACCAAACAAAAACAGACTCATAAACAGAGAACAAACTGGTGGTTGCCAGAGCGGAGGAGGTTGGGAGAATGGGCAAAATAGGTGAAGGGGACTAAGAGGTACAAACTTCCAGTTATAAAATAAAAGAAGTCATGGGGTAGGAAAATACAGCATAGGGAATCTAGTCAATGATATTGGAATAAAGTTGTATGGTGACATATGGTAACCTCACTTATCGTGGGGAGCGTTTTATAATGTATAGAATTGTCAGAACACTGACAATGCCGAGGCCACCTGAAAATAATATAGCATTGTATGTCAATTACACTCTATCTTAAATAAGTAAGTAAATAAATAAATAGGTACATAAATAAGAGATCTTGATAATTTTGGACGTTTACAGCTCTGGGCAGGGGGAATGGAGCAGTGAGTTACAAGGGACAGAGTCAGACACAGCAACAGGCAGGTGGCCAGGTTTCTCCAGGCGGAACAAGATAGAGAGCCCAAGACTGCATACTAATGGCCGCATCTCCCCCAAGACTGCTGGCCAAATGACTCCTCTCCAGAAAACACAGAGTGCCTCTCCATACCAAAGGCCGCCTCCTAACTGGACTTTCAGAGGCACACAACATGAAGTCGGACACCCACTGTGCCGGGCGGTGCCATTATGAAGATGAACTGTGAACCAAACTGCCGCGCTGCTACATGTCGGCTAGAGAAGACAGTGGTTTCCCTAGCACCAGGAACGTCTACTCGCCACTGAGTGACTCTGAATGGCTCTTGAATGGCAAGTTGTCAAAGAGCAGAAATGAGAGTATGAGAAAAGAGTGGGTGTGTTTCCATCTAAGGATTTGAGGGAGGAGCCCCTGCCTCCTGGTGCATTCAAGATGAGGACCAAATTTTCAACTCAATACAGAGAATAATAGAAGATTCACTCCCCAACATATCATCATTTCTAGTGATATTTGCATCGAGCCTAAAGACACTTGTAGTTTGGCAGTCAGATCGGAAAGAAGTAAGGAGATGGTTAAGAAGCCCATGTAGATTTGGGTGCCTTTTATTCCCTTCTAATTTTTTCAGCTTTGATAGCCAAAGAGATCTACTCTTGAAGGTCCAAAAATGTTGTTGCTATAGGAACAGGTAAGCAGATTAGACTTGAAAGACCAGTTTAGGAACAAAGAATTTAATAGTCAGAGCTAAAGCAATTAACCAAGAAAAAATTTAAATAAAAATCTTTTGGGTTTCTTATTTATATATTAATTCCAGGAAGATAGAATGCTATTATAGAATGGGAGTATCACATTTTAACATTTTAATTACACCATGACTGGCATAGAAGACTATACTTACACAATTAGCAGAAAGGCCTTATTAACCAGAAGTACACATGTCTAACTCTCTCTTGATTGCATTGTAATTGAGAAATACAGCTTTAATTTCAGCAAGAACATGAGAAACATCTCTGGTTCCTAGAGTCCCTCAGAGGAGAACACATCTAAAATCTGCAGAAAGTTTTCTGTAATCAATCTCTATAACTAGAGACACAAAAGCAAAACTGTAGTAGTAAACAGCAAAGTGTGTAGGTTGATAATTAATATTTCATGCTTTCCCCATCCAACATTCTTTGTGAACACAGGTATGTGAGAAGAGAAGACAGTCAAAGACTCAGCGGCCCTCCTACCTCACCGTGGATGTCCTGTTTCTTCCTATCAAGGAATACACTGCATCCCAACATTAGGGATTTGCTGAAATCATTAAAGCTCTGCACAGAACTTGCTAGACTCGGGAGGCTCAAAAAATGCATCATAAAGCGGCATTGTGCTTCTCTCCCTTTCTGCTTTATTTAAAAAGAGAACATTGTTGATAAAACGAATACAGTGTTGGCATTCTAGCAAATTTCTGCTGTTAGAGATTACATTTATGGGACAGAGAGACTTGCTGGATGCTACCTTTTCTCACATAGTAGCAGAGTCAAGTTGCAAAGAAGCATGTGAGTGCGTCTGAGAGTGTGTGTGCACATGCGCGTACACGTGTTTGTGTGTGTGTGTGTGTGTGTGTGTGTGTGTGTGTGTATGTGTGTGTGTGTCAGAGGACAGTATTGGAGGCTGGGGAATGGGAATAGGAAGAGGGGAGTGTGGCTAGAATCTTACCATCTCATTCTCTTCTCCTTCATTGAGCAGAGCATGCTGGCCCTTCTCAAAGTGGTCCCCCATGAAAAAGTGACTCCACTCCTCCTCCCTGGCCTTCCTGAGCAGGAGCCTCGAGACCAACCTGCCGAGCCACCGCAGCTTGCCAGCTGACTGAAAGAGTTAATGATCCTCCAGGTTAAGGCTCCTTCTTGTGCACACACCTACTCTCCACAAAGGACATTACTTAGCAAACTGAACTCCTCCCACAGTCGCCCTCTGCTCGGAGGAATTTCTGCCTTGCTTACAGCATTGTCTCGGAGCAGCTGTCCCCAAAGAGGCTGCTCCCATGCCGGTCTTTTTGTGCCCAACTTACAGGGAAAGAACTCATTGCCTGCCAGCATAAGACATCTGACTGCAAATCCAACAGGACAATGGCCAGTTGGCAAGATCTTTCCGAGAAGGAGTGGGGGAGCGGGCTCCAGAACTCCCAGGTCACTGCTTTATTCACAGGGGCTAAGGAACTGGGGGTTTGGGGGTGCGGGTGGCTAAGAGAGCTGCAGATTTTATTTGATTACTGAAAGCCCCAGTCCACTGGCTTTTAATAGTATCCTCATTCATTTTGCTCACAAAAGGTACAAATTACGACTAATCCTCTTCCAAAGTTATTTGTAATCACATTTCTTTGAGCATGCAAAAAGCGTTCTACTTAACATGCGTGTGGAAGTGAGCTTACTTTTGTGAAAGCCCTAGAGCCAGAACAGAGGTATAATCGAACTGCTCTATGTGGTCCCCGTTCACTAAGATGTTGGTGGTTAAACTCTCGAGGAGGTCGAGAAATAAAATGTTCATGTGACTACATGGCAAGACTCATTTTTTAATTTATCCACACGTTCACTCAATATATATAATCTGAGCTCGGGGACTGTCCATATAAATCAAGTCCTAGCTTCTACCCTCAGACTGACGTCGGGATTCAAACATGCAAATGAATGTGGTAGAGGGCGCTTTGTTATTATGAAAACTGGGCCAGAAGGCTAAGGGAGCTGTCAGAAGCCTCACCATGGGGCAGGGGACACACACCAACTGGGGCTCTGGAGAGAAACCTGGCTTCCAGCTGCTTGTCCATGCTGTGTGAGCCGTGTGATTAACCTACAGAGGCTGCCTCTTCTCATCCAGAAATCCAAGGCATTGATTGAAGACTTGGGAGAGTGTATTGTACAGCTCTGATCAAGTGCTGTTGGTGTCATTAAACTCAACACTGTCCAATATAACAGTGGGTAGTAGAACATGGGGGCTAAATGTGTGTGCCCTTGAAGAGTCTGGGTTCGAATCTGGGCGGTGAACCAAGGTGACCCAGTTCTGCCATCTTAAGATAATAAGTGTCATAAGCTTTATAAGCCTTTATTTCCTCATGTAAAGGCGATGATGATAGAACTTACCTGAAATAGAACTTCCTAAAACTGTTGTGTGAGGAACAGTACATGGGAAGTAGTATGTGTTCAACAAAGGAGAGTTACTTTTTACCTTCACCATGTCCACTCACTCCTTCAAGCTACAACTCTTGGCACTAATATCCCCAAGCCGACCCTAGTAACCCTAACATGACCATGACTAGGAGCCCCCGGGTGGCTCAGTCACTTAAGAGTCTGACTCTCAACATCGGCTCGAGTCATGACCTTATAGTTCATGAGATCAAGCTTCATGTCAGGCTCTGCGCTGTCAGCATGGAGCTTGCCTGGGATTCTCTTCTGCCCCTCCCCCCCTTCTCTCAAAATAAATAAGTAAACTTAAAAAGAAAAGACCAAGACTAAAGTGTGTGTGTGTGTGTGCGCGCGCACACACGTGCACATAAAACCTCGATCAAATGATAAAGTACAAGCAAGATAAACTTAAAAAATATTGAGTTATTGTAATATTAATTACAAAACATATACATACTGTTCTCCGAGTTTCCAAAAATTATCAGCACACTTAATCAAACAAATAAAAGTGAAATCAGCATTTTATCACAAGTTCAAATACAAGGAGTGTGGGAGTTTTGTTTGTTTGTTTGTTTTAGGGGGATGAAACTGTTCCAGAGTTAGATAGTGATTTTTGGCTGCACCGCTTTGTGAATATACTAAAATCCACTGAACTGTACACTTTTAAAGAGTGAATTTTTGTGAGTGCGAGTTATCTCAATAAAAAAGTTACCTTACGAAAAGGTAAGTAAACATGTGGGAGTTCTAGCAGGCAGTCATCCAAATATGTATCAAAGAGAGGAATGCTGCGAGAAGATTTCAAACTTCATACGAACTGACGGGGATCAAGGAGTGTCAGCATGTAAAGTGGTGACAGCATCCTGGTGCCTGTGTGCAGGCAAGAGAAGAGGGATTCATTCCATTGCCCGTAGTTGGTAATCCTTGCACTGCTGCCCCTGGCTGGGATCCTGAATACATCTGGCAACTCTGGCACCACCGTGGGTGAGGATGAGTGTGCAAATGATTAAGAGCTTAAAGCAAAGTCTTCATACCAACTTACATCACTTAACAAATTGACTCATGCAATAACAATATTTAAGCCAAACTTGAACAGCAAAAGAAGTCCCTAAGAACACGAAACATTTTTGTGAACCCCAGGGAAATCTGTAGGAAATCATTTCCAACAATGTGGCCCGGTAGATCAGAGGACTTTAAAATTGTGACAGTTTCCTCACGTTTCTCCAGCAGTTCTAATAGTAGAACATTCCAGTGCCTCTATGGCAGTGTGACTCATAGACTGTGATCTTCCAACTTATATGCACGTTCATGTGCTATATCCCAAGTGTTCTGCAAGGAATGTTGGCTTTATTTAGCTAGGAAAGCCTCTGTGTGGAGGAAGCATTTGAGAAGGGCCTTGAAAACAGACAGGAAAGGAAAGTCTTACTGGTGGAGATGCTGATGCCTGGACGGGGAGTGGGGTCACTCCCAGAAAAAGAATTTGAAGCAGGGGAGCCATCAGAAAGAGAGACCCACACACCCTCCTACACTGTTGGTGGGAATGTAAACTGGGGCAGCCCCTCTGGAAAACAGTGTGGAGATTCCTCAAAAAATTAACAGTAGAACTTTCCTAGGACCCAGCAATAGCACTGCTAGGAATTTACCCAAAGGGATACAGGAGTGCTGATGCATAGGGGCACATGGACCCCAATGTTCATAGCAGCACTCTCAACAATAGCCAAAACATTGAAAAAGCCTAAGTGTCCATCAACTGATGAATGGATCAAGAATATGTGGCTTATCTATACAATGGAATACTACATGGCAATGAGAAAGAATGAAATCTGGCCATGTGTAGCAACATGGATGGAACTTGAGGGTGTTATGCTGAGAGAAATAAGTCAGGCAGAGAAGGACAAATACCATATGTTTGCACGTAAAGGAGGATTAGGAGGAACTTAACGGAGGACCATGGGGGAGAAGAAGGGGGAAAATAGAGGGGGAGAGGGAGGGAGGCAAACCATGAGAGACTCTTGAATGCCAAGAACAAACTGAAGGCTGATGGGGGTGGGGGGAAGGGAAAGGGAGGTGATGGGCATGGAGGAGGGCACTTGTGGGGATGAGCACTGGGTGTAATATGGAAACCAACTTGACAATAAACTACTAAAAAGAAAGAAAGAAAGAAAGAAAGAAAGAAAGAAAGAAAGAAAGAAAGAAAGAAAGAAAGAAAGAAAGAAAAGAAAGAAAGAAACAGAGACCCACAGCTTTGTCCAGGGTGCATTCATCATCTTTCCTGTAGCCACAGTGTGTGTGTGACGGAATAAGGGGAGAGCGAGATGTAGCAGAAAATACAGATCAAGGCCATTCCAGGGAGGTCTTGAATTTGAGGCCTGAGTCTGGACTTCATATAATGAGTAACGACACAAATGAAGGAAAACCGATGTCATAAATAAGCACATTTTTTGGTGATCAGCCCCTGTGTAAATATTATAGGAATCGTTGCATAAGCAGGTTCTAAAGTGACTCAGTCTTTCTAGATATCAAACGCCCTTTGGAGGGTTCCCTTGAGCCCTCTAAAGGACATCCTCAATTTCCCTGTAGGAAAGTTTATTCTTTTTGTTAAAAGAAATAACTTAATAGACTTCATTTTTTTGGGTAGTTTTAGGTTCACAACAAGATGGAGCAGAAGATACAGAGATTCCCACATACTTCTTGTATATACATATCCTCCCCCTGAGTGATGCATTTGTTACAGTCAATGAAGAACCTCAACACATCATTTTCACCCAAATCCATAATTTACATTAGGGTTTCCTCTTTGTGTCATACATCCTGTGAGTTTTGACAAATGTATAATGGCATATATATCCACCATCACAGTCTCATACAGACTAGCTCCACTGTCCTAAAAATTCTCTCTGCACCCTATATTTGTCTCTTCCAACCCCTAGCAACTACTGATTCTTTTACTACCTCGTTTTGCTTTTTCCAGAATGTTATACAGTTGGAATCATGCGGCATGTTGCCTTATCAGAGTGACTTCTTTCAGTCAGTAATATACATGTAACTTACCTCCATGTCTTCTAGGACCTTGGTAGCTGATTCCCTTTTAGCGTTGAATAACATTTCACTGCCTGGATGCACCATGGTTTATTTATCCATTCCCCTCCCAAGGACATCTTGGTTGTTTCCAAGTTTGGGGCAGTTAAGGATAAAGCTGCATACATTCATGGGATTTTTGTGTAGACATATGTTTTCAACACGTTTGATAATGTCATTAGGGAAATGCAAATTAAAACAACAATAAAATATCACCACCCATCTATTAAAATGGCCAAAATTGATAGCACCAACAACACCAGATGCTGACAAGGATGTGGAGTGACAGGAACTCCCATTCATTGCTGATGGGAATGCAAAATGGTACAAACACTTCGGGAAACAGTCTGGGGGGTTCTTTTCTTTCTTTTTTTTTTTTTTACTTTGGGGGTTTCTTACAAAATTAAACATCTTACCATATGATCCAGCAATCATGTTCCTTAGTATGTACACAAAGGGGTTGAAAGTTTAGATCAGTCTTTCTCTTCCTAATTTAAAAAAAAAATTTTTTTTAATGTTTTTTAATTT